ATCGGTTAACATCCCTAGTCTGAAAGTCACTGGGTCAATAAGAACAACACACAAAAAAAATCACCAATCCAAAACACAAGATAAAGAGCTAGAAAACCAGTAGGTCACACTGAGGTCATATACAGAACAACAACAGCCACAGAGTTACTCACAAGGTGAGTAAAACTGAAGCCCTATTATACATAAGCAGAAGAATGTGTCCATTAGTCACAGCTGGGGGCGGAGAATGAGCAGACTGGGCGTGGCTGCATGGGAAATCAGCTGGCTGCAGGTGTGCAGTTTGCACTCAACACTGAGAACTATAGTGCAGTGTTTCTCAACCCAGTCCTCAGCGAACCCCAGCCAGTCGACGTTTTTGCTCCCTCCCAGCTCCCTGGCTGGGGTTCGCTGAGGACTGGGTTGAGAAACACTGCTATAGTGAGACTTTAGAAAGAAATACTGTCATGAACAGTATGTACAATTTGAATATGGAGTACAATTTTCTTTTCTTCGTAAGAGTCAGAGAAAATCACCAGTGTTAAGCATTAAAGCTTACAGTGCTTTGTCTCCTGCCCAGGTTCCTAGAAATGCAGCTAGCTAAAGAAAACCTGACCACAGAGGTTAATGAGACTCTGACAGATGTCGGGGCTGCTAACAACTCTGTCCAGGCCCAAATGGAAGAGACGGCAAGCTCCCTGTCCAATCTCACCTCCTCTGTTCTGCCACACTGGCATGCAAAGGTAAAATTTTCATTAATTTAAGTGATTTTCAGATGGTTTTGTCTAAAGTGGAATTGTTCAGCATAATAAAGCGTTAGGTTTACAGCGCCAGCTCCGGCTGTCTGAGCAGCCTAACCTCTGTCATCTCCCTGTGAAAGGTGAATGAGGAACACAGGAGCAAATGGCATGTGTGAACTTAGCATTATAACAGATGCTACTCATGCCCGCTTAAGGTCGTTTGACATCAAGGGTGACGTGTCAGGCCAGGTAGCAGCTGTACACCAGGGGGGCAACACCAGGGCACGGCAGGGCAGTACGGCCACATGGCCTGTTACTTTGATCTTAAATCTGGCAATCAAGAGCCTGTGTTCCTCTCCTCCTTCAGGAAGTAGATCTAGGAAACAGAACTCAGGAGCTGGAGCTCCTGGTCCAGTCCAAGGATGAGCTGGTGACCAAAATAAGGGAAGAGCTTGAACCTTCCATAAGGAGTGTGGAGACACACTTGGAAAACGTCCAGCAGTTTAACCAGGTAACATGAACTGCGACACCTTGTCTCAACCACTGGGTCCTTCTTTCCTTCTATAGCTAGTTAGCAGGGACCTTAAATCAGTGTTTTCTAGATTAAGTACTTCTGGTTCAGTCCCAAGTACCTGAAGCTGATATCACTCCTAGATGAGTGTTTCTGAGACCCTGACCATGGAGGTTTCCTGAAGGTAGCTGACAAATATGGGATTCACAGCTTCCCATCAGAAGGAAACTAGCTTGTCAGGGAGGTCACCACAGTGTTTTGTTTTGTTTTTTTTATTTATATGTTTTGATTCCCCTGAATTTTTCGATTTATATACCGCATAGATGAATACATGAATGTTTTATATATAATATATTATTCTTGAATTGTTTTGTGCTCTGTATGCATTGATACTATAAAGTGCTATATGAAAATCCCAAGTAAATAACAGCGTAGAGACAGAAATATGGGTTGCTTAATGATGAAGGTTCCTTTGTGTTTCACATTTCCTGGTTCTGCTCACATTTCCTGGTTCCAGCTGACAGCCCAGGTCCAAGAAGCAAAGCACGCAGCTTTGTCTGCCGTCGTGGAGGCAAAGGAAACCGACTCTGAAGCTGTCACACTCCTAAAACACTTGGATGGTGCAGTTTTGTTCTACTACTGGTTTAACATGATTGAATATGATTTATGCACATATGAATGCCATATAGTAATTGTAACATATAACAATTAATGCAAATGAAAAACTAAAACAGCAATCTTTGGGATATTCTAAGTCAATTTTAGTGCAAATAGTGTCCTACCCTATTACTGATTTTATATATGAAGACGTAGTAAATTTATTACGATGTATATCAAGATAATATGTACAGCTATTGTACTATTTAATTTTACAGAAGTAAACAGCTTGACTAGTACATGCCTGCAGATTTTCTTGGTGTCTAAGTAGCTCAGGTCTGAGGACAGTCTTTTTGATATTGGTGCCTGTATTATTATCTGTAATAATTGAAATAATTAAGATCAGGCTTGAATAAAATAGAAAATGTGCCTCCTGCCCTGCTTCTCTGCATTTTCCTGATGCAGTCATAGAGAAAGAATGGCCGGAAGCTTTGGCACAGGCACAAACCGTCTCAACAAAGGGGAAGATGGTAGAAGAGAAGCTTCTGGCAGACGCCAGCAAGAAGGTGAGCCAGGGGGAGAGAATGCTGAAGCCTGCTCTGGAAAACACCACCGCCTGCAGTAACAGAGCTGCTGATTCCAGGGACGCTGCGAGCACAGCCTCCAGGGTGAGTCCCCCTCACTTTCCTTATTGTACAGGATGCACATTTGACTTATGATGATTTTAAGTGATGCACATCTTCCATTAAAATAATACTTTTTTTCTTATTTGACATCTGCTGCTGTTTCGTGGCATAATTGGTTGCATGGTCACCTTGCACCTACACGGTTGTGGGTTCCAATACCCCCTGCTATGCATGTGAGGAATTGGATGTTCTTACCATGTCGCGTGAGTACCTTGTGATGGACTGGCATCTCGTCCAGGGTGTCCCCTGCCTTGTACCCTGTGACGGACTGCTGTCCCATCTAGGGTGTCCCCTGTCTTGTACCCTGTGATGGACTGCCAACCCATATAGGGTGTCCTATCTAGGGTGTCCCCTGCCTTGTACCCTGTGATGAACTGCTGTCCCGTCTAGGGTGTCCCATCTAGGGTGTCCCCTGCCTTGTACCCTGTGATGGACTGCCGTCCCGTCTAGGGTGTCCCATCTTGGGTGTCCCCTGCCTTGTACCCTGTGATGGACTGCCGTCCCATATAGGGTGTCCCATCTAGGGTGTCCCCTGCCTTGTACCCTGTGACGGACTGCTGTCCCGTCTAGGGTGTCCCATCTAGGGTGTCCCCTGCCTTGTACCCTGTGATGGACTGCCATCCCATATAGGGTGTTCCCCTGCATTGAGACCTTTATAGACAGACAATCCCATGCTGGAGAAGCAGTTGGAAGATATATGGTCGTAAATTAAGGGGGGGATGGGGGGTTATAAACTCCTCCCCCCCCAAAAAAAAAATTAAGCCAGCCAATACAACCCCTGAGACCCCCTTAAATGTATGGAGACCTCACCCCCCCACAAATGATCAACCCAAGGTTATGCCCCTGGGAAGATATATGAATGGAAGTGTGTGAGTGGTATTTTTAAAGGTTACCATTAGAGGTGGCATGATCTGAGACTGGGAAAAAATGCTGGATTGGATATGGGGGAGGCAGAGGGGGGGGGGGCGGGTAGACACTGATTCGATTTTCGTTCAGAGATGGTCTAACCTGAAAAATCGCAAAAACGCTTGTAGCCTTAGTGCAATTTGCTGCAAAAGTGAGGGACTTGTGATGTGCTCAGAGATGCATGTGCACTGGAGCTGCCAAGTCGGCCGTTTGGAAATGCAGTTACTGTACTTTACGCCGAAGGACTGCACTGCATGCAAGGCTATGGCTAATATAGTAACGTTTATACATACTGGCTCTCTTCAGACTTGTATTCTTTCTAAAGTTTGGATGATTACTGCTTAAAAGTTTTATATTTGTACTCCCTTGTATATGTTGTACAGGCGACGTGTACTTTTTGACTAGAAATGGTTAGTTGGGGTATGCAGTGATATTTTAATTAATGATTGATTTCTTTATTCTGTTTTGGCAACAGATTTGCCACAATTTCTGTTCATTTTTGTGGAAGTTGTTGCTGAATAAGACATAAAAGCATAAAATCATGTGTAAATCATGTTGGTCCTGGATTTCTAGCTTTTGTTTGAGCAACATGACCATGACATTTTTTTTATTCTTAGCGTACGCTAACAGTGCTGCTACAACGCTGAATGCAGAGAGTCTGCCATGTTAACTGAAATGTATCGATACAAATATCTCATTTAATGCTTAGTAGTTGATAAAGAGGAAAAAATATCGGATTGGTATTGGCATCGGCAGATACTCAGAGTTTTAATATTGTTATCAGGATGGGCAGAATCTCTAGTTACAATGATTGATCCAATACAATACAGTATGTTGACCCTCATACACGCTACTTTGATCGTCACTGGTGTCTTGTGGTGAATGTTGTTTCCTTTGAGTGTAGGACGCTAAGGATTTGCTGCACAAAACAAAGCGCACAAGAAGCTCCTCTGCACAGCTGAGCTCCTCTGTGGACACGGTTTTACTGCAGCTGGAGATCCAGGAGCACAGAGCTGCACAGATCCATATGGAAGATTCCAGTGGGGTAAATACTATAGCCATTTTATTGGAAGCTAAATGTACTTATGTAAGTTCTTAATGTCTCCTGAGTTCAATATTTTGAGTATAAACTATGGATGTCCAGAGAGGGCACTTATAATTTTTTCTTCCTGGTATCTCAAGATAACAGGATATTTTTCTTGTGATCTCAACATATCAAAAGTTATCTCAACATCACAACTTATACTTTTTGTGCTCCTGAAGTAGTTACGTAGATGCCTGTCACTCACTCTGTGCATGCCAGCGTCTGCACATAGGAGGATGCTGTTGAATCAACTTCCTGTTTGAACCACATCAATGGTGTAGGAGAGAGTTTGAGGAGGACACTACTTATTTATTTGGTAACACCTTACATTAGCTGCATAGTTTACATTAACTTGCATAATACTTTTATAATGCATTGGTAGAACATTCAGTGCACCTTCATGTGCATTTATAATGCATTCATAGAACATTCCTAATGCATTCAAAGAACATTCAGTGTACCTTCATAATGCATTCATAGAATGAAGATTTATAAGCAGCATGTAACTGTACCTTAACATCCTAACATACCTTAACAGCTACATGATTATAATGTTTGTTATTATGATATGAAGTTTGTTATTAATGTATATTAAAGCTGCTAAGGTATGATAGGATGTTAATGTATGCTTACATTCTGCTTATGAATGTTCTACGAACGCATAGTGAATGCATTATGAAGGTGCAGTTAATGTAAATCATTACCAATCATTTAAATACAAAGGCCAGTTTATTGGGGGGAAGAATGAAGCCAAATTAAATATTGGGGACACCCCCCCCCCCCCCAGTTCCTACGCTCCTAAACCCCATAATGAAGACTATTAATCAATCTTACTAAGAATGTATTGTTTCTGCCCATTACTGATGTTAATTATCTAATACATTAAGTGAGTAGTAATCATTAGGCTACCTAGCAGTCTGTGATTATGTCCTTTCAATTATGAATCAAAAGTTAGAATAGCTCAGCGTTATCTCATTGTAACGTTTCCTTTTATTAGAAAATCAATTCAAAGCTGTAATTTAATTGTCCTCTTTTTTTTTCTCAAGTGACGAACACTAATATGATGATTGTATAGCGCTGACAGACCTACTGCTATTTCTGTATGTGACAGTCCATGATCAACGTAAAATCATTGGTCCACGATGATGATGTATAGCCAGATAAGCTGCTTAACCTGTCACAAGATCACAGGAGAAAAAGTTGTTATCTCATAATGACAAGAAAAATAAGTTGTGATCTCGATATAACGGGAAGAAAAAAATGAATATGATGATACGTGTCCTCTTTGGACTTCTGTAGTTGTCTTACATTTAATTTCATTCTTTTTCATAAGACAGTTTAAAAAACATAGTCAATGACAGAGGAAAAAAGAACAAATAACATTTGCTATAGTCTTAAATGATAATGATCAACTGAATTTGAATAGCTGTAATGAGTTTTGGTACTTTTACTGCATATTAATTTTCTAATATCAGATTGAAGGTATTGAGGACGACATGAAAGCAGCTATTGAATCTGCAAAAGCCCAGCTGGAAACACACACACACATGCTGACTGACCTGCTGCAGAAAATCGGTGAGAAAGCCAGACTTTATCGGCATTTGCAAATGTTGCTCTGTCGTTTCTTATTGGATCCTATGTGTTAAGAGGGTCTGTTATTCTGTACTGGCTGTGACCAAGTCAGAATTTAAAGGGAGTCAGATTTATGAAATCACTGGTCTGTAGATGAACATTCGCTTTGCACCCCCACAAGCAGAAGAGAATGACACCGTCCAGAAGTTTGACGTCATTTTAAACGAGACGGCCATCCGGTTGGGCATCCTGAGGCACACCATGGAGAGCCCAGCGCTGGGCGTGAAGATCCAGGCCCTGCGTAACGCGGCGAGTGAGCAGTTGGCCCAGCTGGAGCAGGTGGAGCACAGCGTCAGGGAGATCACTGAGGAGAAGCAAAGCCTGCAGGACATTGCGCTTCACCTGCCCCAGCGATGCCCAGAGGAGTCAAAGGTCAGCAGGCCTTAGGAGGGATACTGAGTGTCCCGGGGAGCAAAAATGGAGGGCCTCTGAGCTCAGGGAGTGGTTGTCCACCTTTCCAGCATCTTCTCCTTTGGACATGAGACAAAGAATAGCTGTAGTGTCTCCCCTGGCTGGAATCACAAGACCTGGCATTCTAAGAAAAATGCCCACTGTCTGACCCATTGCCGTCTGCTCCCACCCACTGGGGCTTCGGTTCCGTTAAGAAGGCCAGAACAAAAGCGGCCCAGTAGTCTGATTACTCCAGCACATCCCTAACGGTATATTGCTTTTCATTGCTGTATGTAGTGATTTAGCTGACACAAATGCAATTAAAAACTGTATTAAGCCAAAGATTTCAATGCATCGAGTCAAGATCAAATTATGTTTAAAGGGATTATCACTAAGGGATTATTATTGTTATTAAGGTTTAATTGGGAATCAAGTAATCATTACGAGCTTAACTGGAAATTAGTCCTATGGCATTATTAAAATTCGCTCCTTGCTCTGCTTAGTTAAAATGCACAACCGTGTGTTTTCTCATTTTCATTTTACAATCCTTTATTCAATTACATTCTGAATTAAAAAGTTGCCAGCTATGTGTCAGAGTTTAATAGCAGATAACGCTGATGAATAATGGAATTGTGCTGATGGGGCCCGCTCTCCGTCATCTGCAATGGGGCCCCCTTGTGACCCTATTTGGTTTTGCTCAATAATGGAATTTTGTCAAAGCCCATGATTTAATTAAAAGTCTATAATGGTATTGAGGAATGGCTTTGGGAATGTTGAGCAAGGGAAAATGGAGAGTTCTGCACTTCCATGTCAGAAATGATTTAAGCCTGCTTTTTTATCATCGTTCTAGTTTTGATTTTACAGTGTGTTGCTGATATTCATATTGTCCACATGGTGGTGCTGTTCATTTCTGGTGAATGAAATAACAGTATTTAAGATTTTCTAAGGTACAGTCAACAGGTGCAGAAAGACATATTCTGGCATTTTTCTTCAAAAGTTAATTAAACACAACAAATGCTGTTCCATATGCTAATAATTGCAGCAGAGGAGCATTTTAATATGTCATAACTGTAGCCATTTTTTTCAAGAAATTGCTAATTTCCAGTTTAGTCATATTAATCAATGTATATATGTGCTAAAGTATAGAACCTTAAAATCCTGTTTCAGCTGGTGATAGATTAAATATTTATTTTTGTGTGTTTTATTAAGCAAAATGTAATTTGGTTCTTCATGTTTTTTGTCCGGTGGAATTGCATGTCAGCTGTTATTTTGCGTTCATTCTTTCAGCTGTTATTTGTTTTAAATTTGATTGTAGTTAGTTTGTTTTTATGATTATTTGTCTTACATTTTTTGCTTTTTTTTATTTTGGGCACTTTCTGAATGTAATATAAGGAAATGTGAGGTTTGATAGAATCAATAAACAGATGACTTATATTTCCGAGTCATGATATTTTGGAAGGGGACATACAGTATGTCTAAAATGTTCAGTGGCAGCCTTTATTGAAATATAATGAAACACAATGCGTAATCAAACAAAACAGTGTATTTTAATAACAATAAAATGTTAGCATACCATATAAATAAATTAATTGTGATTCATTTTGAAAGTATAAATACTATAATTATGGAGTTTATGTATTATTTATGTATTTTCTTTGTCCCTGAATATGCCTTGTGTGATCTACATTTGATTTGTTTCGAGTGATATGCAGCTTACACTACATGGTCACCACACTGACATCTGACACCTAAAAACCTGATTACTTATTCATAATTGTTTGTATTTTACTGTAATAGGTAAGACATCTGGGCAGGCTGGTCGAACAGAATCACACCAAGCTGGCACTTCAGGTAACAATGCGGAGTTTGTTCGAGATTGGAGATGGTTTAACTCAACGAGGGAGAGGAACGGAAACCAAACAGTTGCTTTGACTTTGGAATGTGCCATATAGAAAAATGCCGTTCTCAAAAATTAACGAATAAACCCTGTTTTCTTAAAAATCATTGCTGGATAATACAAAACCTCCAAGAAAAGAGTGAGGTAAAGCCCATATGGCATGTTCTGCCACAAATCCGGTCATCATTTATTCATCCATATATCAATTATGTATCCCCACAAGGCATTCTCATTCATTCAAGTATCAAGTTTATATTGTTCTCGTTTTCATTACCTGAACGAATATAATGTTTAAAATGCCACAGACACGCTAGACACAATTGTGAGTTTGCCTTGGGTGTAAATAAATTATTAGCCATAGGTTATACGTCGGCTGACTTACAAGCTTCAGACCTTCATACATCTGGATTTTTCTTTTAAGACGTGCAGATTAAGTCCATGTGCTGAGGAGTACTGCAGCAGAAGCCTCCCTGGGATTTGACCCTTTCCCTTTTAAGTCTGTGCCGGCATTATGGGGTAACACAGACAGACGGACATGCTCCTGCATGGCTACAGACAGAAACTCTTTCTCTTTTTCGCCTTTTCCATCAAATTAAAAATGTATAGGAAAATATCACTACAGAGCATGGTACCCTCCTCTTAATTGGCTCATTCGAGTTTTCATTATAAAGTCATTTGCATACATTATTTCATGAACATGCTTTGTTTCTCTCTGGTACCTTTATCTTATGCGTGAGGTCAGATCAAGGGAGCTGTTCCACAAAGCAGGATATCTCACTTAGATGGGTTAACTTAAACTAGAAGTCATTATTGTCCAATAGGAATGCTCCTTACCTAAACTCCTACTGGACAATCATGACTTCTAACTTAAGTTAACCAGCTAACTGAGAAATCCCGCTTTGTGGAAAAGCCCACAAATCCTAGAGTTAAGCCTTTTCAGTATGCTTCTCACTGTACTAAATATGCCAAGTCATGCTATGCCATGACCCATTATTTAGGTTTGCCAAAATTTTGCTATTGTAATATTAACAAATGTATTAATATTTATATTTATTAATATTAAATTACATACATGGAAACAGATTTTACAGTCATATACAGCATATGCTGGTAAATGGTCATTCCTAATCCCTGTATAAATATGAGTGACTACCCATGAATGACTACATTGATCAACTGACAAATTGAAGTTTGTTTTATATGTCTATATACATCAACATCAAGATTATAAAGTAGTACTGTTAAGAGTACAGTCCTAAATCTTATAAAATACGAGTTAGATCTTACCGCTAGGGGGCAGCATCAATGACCAGGCTGCGGGAGGCATGAGACTGAGAAATGCACGTGATAGTGCACTCAGAAAAGCTGAAGTGGGAGATCATTCCTCTGAACCTGCATCTGAATATCTGGGTCCTGATGGTTACGTGGGAGGGTGGAGTGAGACTAGGATGAAGTCATTGCATGTAAGGTTTGTTATAACAGTCAAGAACAACGGAAATTGCACTCCCACAGAGATCAGCTGTCAGAACACGATGTGACTCACTAAAAACTTTGAAGCAATCAAGCTAACTTCATTAAATGAGAATATAAATAGCACCTAATTTTTGTGTGACCTCAATCATCTCCATTTCTCTGGATTTTTTAAATCATACTAAGATAATGGAGCCCATTATACCGTCTCCAGCTTTTACTCAGCAAGTCTCCCTGTGCTATTCTTAGACGTCGCAAATATACTTCTTCCTTTAGTTCCACTTCATTCCTTTCATTCTTCTGCCAAAGATGTTACCACAGCTACATTTAGATGTGGTAACTATACTACTACTCTTACTTGGATTGGTACAACAACATATCACTAAGCATAACCCCAGAACTGCATTTAGGGTAGACAAATTGTTGCATTCAGAAAAGCCTTTCTGTGCACTATTGTAGTACAGAGCTGTTGTTTTTGTACTTGTGGTCTTCCTGTCAGCTTTAACGAGTTTTCATTTTCCTCTGACCTCTCTCAGGTGTGTGTGTCTGTGTGTGTGTGTATGTGTGTCTGTGTGTGTTACTCTTCTTCTACATTTCATAGCCTTTACTTCAGCACATTTCCTGTTCTTTCTTTGCCTTCTATTGCTCTTGTAATCTGTCATTTTTCGGTCATATTGACAGTGACACACAATCTGTTTCTAAATGTATAGCCTTTTCTGTATTTCTGCAGCAGTCTGATAAGCTGGTGTTGACACAGCAAGCATTGCATGCTATGCGCTGTACTTTGATGTTGTCTCATTCTGCTGACATTGTGTCTGCCCAAATGTGTATTTTTCTTCATACACAAAGAGTGCCGCTGATGTAATATAGCATGAACGTCCCAGGTTATGTCAAAGTATGGCTTTTTTAAGAATATGTTCCATAGATCTCTTGGCTCCAAATTACAGAAAGGTTGGTATGCTTCGTCTGCAGTTTAAACTCAATAACAAACTCAAGACAGCAAACATGGCATGAACAAATTGAAAGAAATGTACTAAAATTACATTAAAATTGTTACACAACCACATTTATCTAGCAGTATAATTCATATTCAACAGATCACTGTGAGGAACATTATTTTTTCCATTTTAGTTTCTATAAATGCTCCGTTACCTCAATTTTATCTTTTGGAGGATGGTACGTTTCTTTTGTTAGGGTTGACCTTGCCTTTACAGAGAAAACATGGAATATATAGTCAAATGGAAAACGTCCAGCAGTACTGTTATGAGGCCTGCCTGCTGTGCTCACCGATTGCCCTGCCCTTTTCCCATTTAAATCTGAGGGCTTACTGGCAGATCCAGTAGCTGCTGTGTTGTAGTGGTCATTGTTGTAGACGGTGAACCATGGCTTACTTGTAGCCCCTGTTGTTGTAGTCTACCGTGCATCAGAAAATAAGTACCAAATTGTATCTTTCAGGGTACAAAGGTCTGCCAATTGTACCCTGTAGGGGCTACTACTGAACAAACAGAATTGACACTGTCCCTTACCTATGCTCATGCACACGAGCGAAGGGTGGCTGCGCATGCCCGATTGAGGAGGTTTTTTGGCACGGGTTTGCAGATGTCGAATTAGTGTGAGATCGGAATAAAGAGATCTATTTTTTTGGCACCCAACTTGTGTTAGTTGCCTTTTTCTTTTTTCCACCATGCCACTCCTCCACAGTCGTGACCCCGACATGCATTCCGGCGCATTTGTTTTTTGCTCCGAACATGCCGACGAATGCAGTTGAGCTCAAGCTCCTGGAGTTCTGGTGCGTCCAGGCAGCAGTTTGGTTTGCGCAGGCGGAGGCTCAGTTCACCTTGCACGGTACTGAAGAGGACGCAATGAAGTATTATTATCTCGTTGCCACACTGAACAGCTCCACTGCGGTTAGAGTGGTGAGCCTGCTGCAGAACCCTCCCGAGATGGATAAATATGGTACTTTGAAGTCTCTGTGCAGAAGGCGCTGGCTAATCTCCCACGTAAGGACTGTCGGGAGCTCACTAGGCTGGTGGCTTGTTCGGCCGTGCATACTCAGGACTCAGATAGCTCCCCACCATGGGCTGACACTACTGTCTCGGCTGCGCAGCAGCAAAGAAAGTCAGGCCTCTGCTTTTACCATGCACGGTGTGGTGATAAGGCTAGAAAGTGCACTGCCCCTTGCCATTTTAAGGCTGACGCTAACAAGTACCAGCTATGCTGGCAGCCTACATTTTGTCACAAATGCTGTGTCTGGCCTCCACTTCCTCTGTGACACGAGTGCGTGGGTCAATGTTTTGCCCGCATCAGTGTAGGAAAAGCCAATGGGAGCAATACCCATACCTTTGGCACACATGACATTGGCTATCTGTTTCGGTGGCATTTTGGTGGCGGCGAAAGTGTCCACTCCCCTGCTTGGTGATGATTTTTTTGTGCATTAACAACATGCTGGTGGACATAAAACACTAGCGCCTAGTTAATACCAAAACTTTCCATTCTGTGCCACGCTCGCGCAGCAGTGCCGGTTCGTTTCAGCTGTCGAGTGCTTTGAGTGCAACTGACGGCTTTGCCTGCCTGCTCGCCAAATTCCCAGTCACCTTTCCCACCTTTTCATCAGTCACAGTGAAGCATGGTGTTCAACACCACATTGTCACAACAGGGCCGTCGGTCCATACCTGAGCCCGATGCCTTTATGTGGGTAAATTAGCCATTGCTAAGGCTGAGTTTGACATGTTGGAGTGCCTCCAACATGTTCGGCATTCTGCATTGTTCGGCGTTCCAACAACGCCTAGACCTCCCCTCTGCATATGGTGGCGAAGCTGGGTGGGGGTTAGCACCTGTGTGGCAATTACCACTAGCTTAAAGATTCCACGACCCCGGATCGCTACCCGATCCCGCATATTCAGGATTTTTCCACCCGGTGGACAGTCATCCATTTTTTCAAAGGTTGACCTAGTGTGTGGCTAACATCAAGTCCCTGTGCATCTCAGGGACATCACAAAGACTGCAGTCATCACCCCGTTTGGGCAATTTGAATTTCTGAGGATGCCCTTCGGGCTTAAAAAAGTTTCCTTGTCTTTCTAGGGGCTTATGGACAGTGTCCTTAAGGACCTGCCTTTCTTGTTCATCCATCTGGATGACAATCTGCTGTCCAGTAACACCAGGGCTGACCATTTGATGCACCTTTGGACCCTTATTTAGCATCTGAGTAGCCATGGGCTGATCATCAACCCACAAAAATGCCAGTTTGGCTTGTCCTTCTTCGATTTCCTTAGCCACGTCATCTCGGGAGATGGGGTGATCCCGCTGCCTGCTAAAGTGGAGGCTATCTCTGCATTTCTGTAGCCTGCTACTGCCAGAGCCCTGCAGGAGTTTCTGCTACCAAGTCCGCTTTGGCGAATGCCACCATGCTGGCCCACCCATTGCCTAATGCCCCAATTGCACTCACCACCAACTCCTCAGACTACACAAGGGGGGCTGGATGGTACCCGCTTGCCTTTTTCAGCCGGCAGCTCAGGCCACAAGAGCATAAGTACATTACCTTTGACTGTGAACTCCTTAGCCTGTACTTTAGCTGTGCCTCACTTCCAATTCCTCATAGCAGCCCGCCCTGTCAATGCTTTTGTCGACCACAAGCCCCTGACGTTTGCGATGGCTACGACGTCTTAGCCTTGGTCCACTTGTCAGTAGCGGCAGCTCTCCTTTATATTGGAGTTCACTACCAACATCTGACATGTGCCGGGCCAGCGTAACTGGGTTGCCGACTGTCTCTCCCGCTCGGTGTCGGGCACTGCGCAATTGGCAGCGGACCAGCGGGTTGACCCAGAGGTGCAGGGCTATAGTACTGTGGTCACCAGTCTGCAGCTGACAGATATACCCTTCCATGACAGTGGCACTACCCTCCTGTGCGATGTCTCAACTGGTCTAGCTAGGCCTACCGTGCCGGACAGTTGGCGCCGTCCGCAGTTGGGCTGCCTCCTGTTTTCAGTGTCAGCGTGCTAAGGTGCACCAGCATACCTAGGCACTGCTGACGCCTTTTGTGGTGCCCAAGCACCATTTTGACTACATGCATGTGGACCTGATTGCCCCCCCCTAGGTTTCACTAATCTGCTTACAGTGGTGGACAGGTCTTCTTGGTGGCCAGAGGCCATACCATTGTTATCTACTGCCGCGGCAGATGTGGCCAGAGCATTCATTGGTGGTTGGGTGGCCCGTTATGGGTTTCCGTCCGATATCTCTTCGGACTGTGGGACCCAGTTTATCTCTGAGCTCTGGACTGCAGTGGCTCAGATGTTGGGGTGTTCCCTCCATTGCACCACAGCGTGCCATCCTCAGGCCAATGGGCTGTGCGAGAACTTCCACCGCTCCGTGAAAACTGCTCTTCGGGCCTGCCTCCGGGATGGCGGCTGGATGGACAGGCTTCCCTGGGTTCTGTTGGGCCTCCGGACATCTCTCTAGCAAGACCTGCAGTCCTTATCAGCCAAGTTAGTTTACGGGCAGACTCTGCATGTGCCCGGGGACTTCCTACCCACCAGCACAGCCCCTTGGTGCACTGAACGCCAGCACTCCATGCTGCAGGACTTAGTTGGTGCCTTCATTCCAGTGCCTACAACTCAGCATGGGGTTCCTCAGTCTCATGCTCCTGTGGGTTTAGCCAAGGCCGAGTATGTCTTTATCTGCCATGATGCTCATCAGGGCCTGCTGTGACTACCTTATGATGGCCCGTTGCGTGTACTGCGATCCGGAGACAAGTTTTTCAAGATTGGGGGTAATCTGGACTTTGTTTCAGTGGACCATCTGAAGCTTGCCCATTTGGATGTGGACACCCCAGCAGGACTCCTACCTGTGTCGGTGCACAAGCAGTGGACTGCTCCCGTGGAGGCTGGGCACCCAACCTCCCCACCCTTCCAGCCCACGGTAACCCGTTCTGGCCGAGTGGTGCGGTCTCCCAGCCAGTTGGACCTGTCTTTGTGAATTCTGGGGGGGCATGTGTAGGGGCTACTACTGAATAAACAGAATTCACACTGTCCCATAGCTATGTCCAGTCCTGTTGGCGGCCCGGTCCTGTCTGCCGAATCGTGTCCTGTCTGTCTAGTCTGTCCAGTCCTGTCGCCGGCCCAGTCCTGTCTGCTGAGTCATATCCTGTCCACCATGTCTGTCCAGTCTTGTTGCCAGCCCTATCCTGAATGCCGAGTCATGTCCTGTCCACTCAGTCGAGTTTGGGAGCATTGAGGCTTCTGTGAACAGTAATCCAGAGATCCCAAGTGGAGGCCATTGGTCCGCCTGCCTCAAAAGGCTCTGCCTTGCCCTGTCCTGAGGACGCTGTAAGCCAGTGATCCAGGGCCCCCAGAAATGAGTTGTCTGTGCCGCCTTGTCCATGGCGTACTTGTAACCTTTGTTGTTGTAGCCTACCCCATGTATTGACAGCTGGACTGTCCACATTTATACCTGGACTAAATACAATTTTACTTTATAAACTGGGACTTTTTATTTTCGATTTCCTCTGCCAGCCACTGGAGGATGGACTCCCCCGTTTGCGTTTCTCCCAAGGTTTCTTCCTTCTAGGAAGTTTTCCCTTGCAACTGTTACCTCACCTGGGGCTTTGGGAAGGGATAATGTAAAGCACTTGGAGACGATGTAATGTTGTGAAAATGTGCTGTACAAATAAAACTGAATTGAATTGAATTGAATTGAATTGAATTGAGTATCGCCCCAATAAAGCCCTTGGACTCACAGCTGTTTCCCAATTTCCTTTCACCCACATCTGGTCACTTCATGACAGCTTTGATGGGAGAATTCAGTTTTGCCATGCAGCAAGATTAAATGATTTTCATCTTATCTGAATGAACACACTTATAATGGATTTTTTTAATAGTTCTGTAGTTTAACCAAACAAGAATATCCAGTCTCAAACCAGAATATCAAGCCCAGTCTATACTTGTATTATGATGATTCTGGCATTAGCTACTGCTGCATGTGTATGACAAAAGAGTGTCAATTGTCTGTATGCATTTTTCAAGATAGGAAGCAAATAATAAAATGTTTTTTAATGATTAATTTACCCCAGTCAATGTGGTGGCCTGCCAGCCATACAGACAGCATTGCTCGGGAATGAAGAGTCTTGTCTGCACTCCCAGATCTCCAACGAAATGGTCATTTTTGTGATGATGGGATTCATGCACCTTGTTACTGGTTTTCCTCTTTTCCATCATCTTTTTCAGTGCATTGGATCTTTTCTTAATATACCCAAAATAATATTTCTGTCTGTCAATAATTCGCTTAAAATGTTTCACAAGTACCAACGTTTAAATACTACTGAGATTTTTTGGCATTGACTGGGGTATTTATGACACTAAGGACACTGTCTCTGATGTTTTTCATGTGACTATATCCCTATGTAATGACAGGGTAAACCAATGAATAAAATACCTCTAAAAGTGCACATAGGTTTTGATGATTTTAAATATTTTTCTTAGCCTATTTGCAGTGTTATTATAATAAATACTGTTTTGTGCTTTTATGCAAAAATGCACTTTTAAATGGATATTTTTTATTTTTAACTATACATATATATACATATTTCTGTACGTTATGATAAGATGAATACTCTGAATCGGAACGTGTAGACGTACAATTCTGTCTAAATGTAAATAATTACATTTAGAAAAAATAAAGAGAATTTAAACAAGGTTTGTCATCTCACTTTACTAATGAATATTGACTATAGAAGTGGAAACCTTCCACGCAAATATATCAATATAACGTTTATGTAGGTCAAAACCAACGGCAAATTATGTCATACGTATCATTATGATACTGGATACTGAAATATCGATTCTTTCGATCTGAATATTTCATTTTTATAAACAATCCTAACGTTGACCCCCCCCCTTTAACCTTATAATTGAAATATTTATATTTTAAAAAGGGAGCACAACATGGATTTGTTATAAGGGGCACGACCACTCATTTCGTTGTCAACACCTCATTCCCACTCCCGGCAGGCACCGAAAATCGGTATCAGTGACACCAACCTTGGGACTGGGTCGAATCGGATCGAAAAGAAAATCGGTGGTATTGCCCATCCCACTCGTCGCCTCCAGGCGGGCGCGCATGAAGGCTGGTTTCTCTTGCAGTTTCGGTTTGTTTCGCAGGGGGCGTTGCCTTCGCACCGCCGCTCCGTAACGCGCATAAAGGCTTCGGCGGCGCCTTCGGTCCGGCCGAGCAGCAGACGGGCGACTACTGCGGCAGCCTTGTTCTCTGGATTAGTGTACTACTCTCCTCTCAAATTTCCTTAAATCACCCGGAGATGCCTTCAAACCAGAACATACAGGGTAATTCAAATCAGCACAGGAATATATAGTTTAAGAAATATGTATATGCATTGTTTTGTTGCACTGGTTTCATTAATATGCTTTATTTTAAAAAATGTTATTCGAGATTCGTGGGGGGTGATGGTTATTCCCGATCCCCCCTTTTGGCGGTTTTGATCATAATAGCGATTTCTTATTCCAGGAGGGAAAGCATTTGGGTTATTAAAAGATCAGCAAAGAGAGAAGCTGGAAGAAATTAATAAGGTACGTTATCCGTACGCTTTTTAAAATAAATGTTCACCCCTCTGTTTGCAATATGAGACTAGCCGCGCAGCTCCCCGTACCGTAACAGCACCGTTTATTTAATGATACCGCGACGGCGCTGAATGGGACTAAGGGAGTCCTGGCTGGTTCATGTGCATTTCGGTTCCTGTGCATTTCCCATCTTTGCGTGCTTTTTAAATGCAGATAAAGGATACAGTGTGTGGCTGGTAATCAGCAGAGTCAGTGGGGGGGGTTGTTTGTTTCGAGCAAGATTGCAAAGATGGGCAAGCAGCTACTTGTTGCATACTGGTCATGTCTTTCAGCCTTTGGTAGAGCGGCGTGATTTTAATCTTAAAAATAAAGAAATATGTGCCCGAGAGGAGCCGCGGTCTGCAGCGAGAGAAGCCGCCTCTGTACTTCTAGGTGCGTTTACCTGTAATTGCCTTTTTCTGTTATATTAGTGTAATATTAGGCGACGATGTGGGGCAGATTTGCCGAGGATGTGGTGTTGAAGGTCAGTTAGCGTACATAATGCTTTGGAAACCGTCGTGTGACTGTGCCTAAAAATAGCACGTATCAGGAATAATTCAAAAAATGTAAGTTCTACATATTCTTATCCAGAACTTTAAATGCGCGTTCCCATCGTCCTCTGATGGAGTCGGTGAGCGTGTCCCTGTAAGCCGGTGTAAGGAGAGTGACCGGTGTGTCTCTGCACGTGTCCGCGGAGGGATGGAGCCTGGTGGCAATCTGATCATCAGATTAGTCCCAGATGTCTTTTATGTGGCAATTGTATGATAAAGCAGTAAACTACGAGAGCTTGGATGTATTCTGTTTTATTGGTGAGCAAAGTGCCCCAGACTGTGAAACTGGCGTCTGAAGGTCAAATTAATATCAACGGAGTGTATACGGAGGAGGCTTGAAAAGTCACTTCATGCAGAACAGAAGTGAAATTAGCTGCTCCCAGTGTGAATTAATGGCATGTTTAAATATGGGCTGCCGTCTGAAACCTCCATCTCTGCTCCATTTTCTGTCCGTCTTTGGCAGGAGGTTTAGTACCATCCCCTGGGTCAATTGGGACACAGTGTCCCATCTCTCGGTCATGCCGAATGATCTTGCATGTACTGTGTCCATTCAGGCTAAATTCTTCATTCCATACTGGGGATGGTTTTACTCTCCCTCCTCTATTATATCCTCTGTGTTTGCATGTGAGAACATCTTGCCACAGTCGTCCTATATTTGGTCTAATTAGAGTGCAGTGCAGAGGAATTACATTTTCTGATGAACTTTTCCTTGTGTATGTTTCTTTGAAATAACAGATTCATGTTTTGCAGTATAAGAGCTCAATACCACTGTGCTCTGAAGTGATTTTTTTTTTGGTCCTCTGCTGTTCAGTTGAGAGTGTCCTAAGTATGGAAGTTAGCCCATCTGTCACTTACTGTTAATGTCTCTCCCCCCCCCCCCCCCCGGAGGGGTGGTATTAGTTGTCAATTTCAGGCTGTCAAGCACATCTTACTTGACTTGTTGAAATAACATCACTCTGGGATAGCTTTATTACCCCCCCCCCCTCCCATGTCCAGATGCCTCTCACATGCCGTCATCTTGACACTCCTCCACACTCACGCCACATTCGCATGGACCTGCCATCTCAGTGCCTCTCTGTTCCCTGCAGCTGTGACTTTAGTGCATCTGCTCAGATTTGAAATCCTCTGTGTGTAAAAATAAAGTGGTTCTTTGGGTGCACGTTTAGTGGAAGCTTCTGTCAGTTTGATAAGCAGCTTGATTTGTGCTTTACCTCCATATTGGAATCGGCTGTTTTATTAAAACCGGTTAAGTGACGGTCTTGTTGATTTTGCTATTCAGGGAAAACCTGCCTGATATGTAAATGAATGATTGTTTGGCTATCACTTTCGTTATCGCTAAGCTGCATGCTGACGCTTGTACTATGTCAAAATGTTAAAGTTAAATCTGTCAGCTGTTGTCTGCATATAAATTCTGCTTTGTCAGCAGCTTTTATTGAATTTTATGATGTCTGTATTCATAGTGAAATATTTTTTTTTTCTTTTTTTTTTTAACCGGGCTGCTTATCTGTAATCCTGGTGTGCCGTATGCATGTGATATGTCTTTAAGACACAGATTTCCAGGGTCATCCTTATTCTTTTTTTATTCTAATATTTTTTTTTCTTATGAAGCAGGATCATAATCCACTATCTTATCATGATTTGTGTTTTTAAGTATATTTTGCAAGTTACTGAACATTACAACCAAGTTAAGCTCCCTATTTAAAATAAAAATAACCCTATATGGTAACAGAATTTGAAGGAAAAAATATTATCGAAGTCCACTTCTTGAGGACCAACTCCTCCATGTCATTCATGCTGATGTGATGCAAAAAATGGGAACTTGCTGCATGTGTTGCATTGCATGTTGGGACGCGAGTGTAAAAGGGAGAGAGTTAGATATCGAAGGCAGCACTACCTACTGTTTGCTATTGCAGCTTAATTCCTACCGTCTGTGGGTTTGGAAGTCCATCCATCCATCCATTTTCCCATCCGCTTATCCTTTTGGGTCGCGGGGGGTCCGGAGCCTATCCCAGAAGCTATGGGCTCGAGGCGGGGGTGTGGAAATCCTATTTTCCAAGTTCAAATATTAATTGCTTCATTAAGGAGCTAGCCGTAATTCCCTTATTAGCCGTCCCTGTCTAGAGCCGTGGTCAGTGACCGTTAGCACTGGCTTAGCCTGGCAGTTTCTGCGTAGATGCTATTCCGTTTGTTTCTAACCTTTCTGTATTATATCAGTAATCTTACTGTTGGCTCTGACCCCAGCTTGTTCCTTGTTTCCTGAAGGGTCATCAATTAAATTTACTGCATAGAGCAGGATATTTTTTGAAGGATGGCGTCTTGGATGTCCTGAGCTGAGGTCAGCAAAGATGATGTGCTTCTGTTTTGTTCTCTTTGCAGGAATATCTCGAGGACCAGAAATACAGTGATGAGGAAGACCTGGCAGAGAAGCTGGATTCCTTTAAAAGTAATGTTTGTTCTGCAAAGTGCGCTGCATTTCCCAGAATGCCTTCTTTTCTGCCCTTCCTTTTATGGTGTGGTGTCCCTTTGCTGTGAGAATCGTCTGAATGTGTTTTCATACCAAATAATGAGCCTTAATGGTAGTACCTCACACATTTTGCCCCCACAACAAAAGAACTAGCTAAATAATTAGGTCTGTGACTGTTTAGTCCTTTTTTCTGCTCTTTTGAATCACTTCATTTGAATATCCATTCTCCTTGTTGGCTGCATGCGTCTTATCCTGTCTGTCAAAGCAGAAGCCACCGGTGGCAGTCAGCAATGTTAAATGTAGCAGAGGAATGTGGAGGAATGTCAGAGAGAGAATTCCGCATCCTGTTTATCCTAGAGGCCACGATCTGCTGAGATTGTGACACACAGAGGTTTTGAATTCCATGCAAAATAGCGTTGCGGCTTTAGACACACCGCTGATTCTTCCCAAGGTATTTTGCTGCCACTAGCTTCATTGCAGCTGTTGTTGCCTGGGAACGGTCATGCACCAAGGGACCCTGAGCTTCTGCCGTTCATTTAAATATTCCCTGGCAGAGGGAGCCGTGTGACACACTTGCCCCTCGCATCCTGTTATTCTGCCATAGCCTTGTCGTCACCCTGAAAGTACCGTGTTTGTTTGCTTTGCTTTTATCGCTAAATTTTTGTTTTTGCCGCAGTCAGTACTCGGTCTTTGGGCTTGGAGTGAGTTGTAAGTCTGAGCCTGATGGGCTGAACACTCCCACCCCTCCCCCAACGTCGAGGGCCAAGTTTGTGGAGAGAAAGAGGTTTTTGTTTGTGTTGAAAAGACGTAAACTGCCCTCGCAGCCCCCAGCCAGCCTCGTCCAGCAGGCCGACCTCTGAACGATGAGTTTGTGCCAGTCAGGGGTGACACTCCTGGCAGTTCTCACCTTCAGACGTAATCAGGGGAGCCACGTGAGGGGCAGAGCGAGCCCAGCAGGGACCCCCTTCCAGCCGTCCCCACTGGCCTGGGATGGGGCCCTGGGGACGCGTTTCCCAATAACATAGTATGCTAACTATGCCATTGAACTGGTCCAGCCTTTTAGCTGGTAATGGGAGCATTTAGGAAACGCACCCCAGGACGGTTCTATGCAAATGTGGGGAGCGATTGAGATAGGGACACACACACACACACACACACACACACACAAGCATTCTTGTGACAGGACAGGGAGACATTTGGCAACCCGGTGCCTGGAGTTCAATAACAACATCGGCATTGTTCTCCTTCACTCACACGGTGACATGGTTACAGAGCTCAAGTCAGCCCAGATACTGGCTACCTTCTGTGACAAGGACGAGGCTGGGTTAGTCTGGGGACTGACTGTACAGCTCCAGTCTCAGGAGGCCTGAATCTTCTACAACTCATCTCAAGTTACTTTACCATGCATTCTAAGATTATTTTTTTTTAATAGTAATTTTTGTGTGTTTTTATTCCTTTTGGTATTGTAATCTCTTTGCAGAAATAAAACAAGTAAGCAAATGGAAGTATTAAAAACAGAACTATTTTGTAGTAGGATTTAGTTTTGTTGTAAGCAACCAGAATTTCTTCAAGATGCGGCCATGACGTGTAATTTTATTAAAAGCTAAATGTCAGCCTTAGTTTCAGAGATTGACCTAAGCAATTAAAACTTTTTAATTAGCCGAATCAGAGTATGCATGTTGCTGCACTCACATCTCTGGAGTCAGTGTTTTCTCCCCCTGTAATTGTTCATTCTTTTAGGCTAGAAATACTTTCCTTTGTAGGGCAGCTCATGTTCTGTTTTGTATTGGCGTTTAGTGAGTTTGTTAGGGTTTATTTTTAAACGAGTGACATTTCATGAAGCAGGTGACATGGCATGCTGTGCAGTTTGTAGCCTTCAGAGATTGCTGTAAAGCCCACGTCCGCTAGCCCTTGTGTGAAAGGCAGGCTGACCCGGCTGTATAGCCCACGTCCGCTAGCCCTTGTGTGAAAGGCAGGCTGACCCGGCTGTATAGCCCACGTCTGCTAGCCCTTGTGTGAAAGGCAGGCTGACCCGGCTTGCTGGCTCCGTTACAGATGCTCCTTGGGGACGCTCACTCTCACGTTACTCGCTGCTGTCTAACCAGGTCACTTTTTTTAATTCCCCTTCCTCCCCATGGATTTGGAAGCCCTTCCCTTATCTGCTTTTACCATCAGGCTTTGTCTGCTGTGCGTAACCAAGGCCTGCTAAAAGCACAGCTGTTCCCACACAGGCTGGCTGCTCCAAGCACCTGTCTGCCCCCTACATGCCGGCCTGAACAAGTGCACCACTTTTCCCAGCTGAGCTGCTCAAGCTGACTTTCCCTGGAGACTGCATTTGATACAATTTCACAAGAATGCTCCACAAAGATCTCCTCCTAAGTCAAATGACTGTAGCGCATAACCAACAGTCAGTGTTTTAAATGGAAGGCGGCTGTGTGAGGCCAGGACGGTCTTTGGAGAGAGATCGTGTTCCCAGGGCTCTGCTGTTCCTGATAGTCTGTTGAATTTTCATTGTGGAGGAAATTTGATTGTAGATACGCTGTGGTATAATTAGATGATGTTTGGTGTTGGGTGAGTTGTGATTTCCCCTCTCTCTCTCTCTCTCTTTACCCAGACAAATATGCCGAATTTGACCTAAATGACCAGGGAGAAATCGGTGAGTAGATGTTTATAAACAACTTTGAAAAAGTATACTTTTCTATTTATTTAGAGCTAGTTCTTTGTTCCTTTTTGGCATACTGATGATGCTAAGAACTGCTAAGAATGAATTGCATTCTTTTGAAATATGAATCAGTGATGTTATTGATGTAGACAGAGCAGGTTGGTCTGTTGCGGGGCTTTCACACACAGCTCTGTTCCTGCTGTGCTGGCCGCTGGGTTCAGCACAAGACGCCTCATTTTTTTGGCCAACCAGGTATTCATCACAGCGTGCAACAGTCAAAGTTCAGCTAGGGTGAACTTTGGCGTCTGCACGCACACGAGGTCGCCGAGCGCCAACCAGCGCGGTGGAAGCACTGGGAAATAACGGGTTTGGGGGAGCAGCAGACCTGTGGTGTCTGTGTCTGAAAGCCTCATTAGGATACTTCTTCCCCATGCTAAACATGCACATGGTTGGATCACTTTATTCACATGGTCAATGACCGGTGAGGGTCTGCCTTAAAATGAAGGGAAGGGAAGCTATTGGCTGTAACCGGAATCGAGGCAGGTGTGTGTGAGCGGTCATGCATGTATTTACACGTGCGGCGTTTACCCGTGTGCTTCTGCACCAGACATGATGGGACTGAAGAGGATGATGGAGAAGCTGGGGGTGCCCAAGACCCACCTGGAGATGAAGAAAATGATCTCGGAGGTCACCGGGGGCAGCAGCGACACTATCAACTACCGGGACTTTGTGAAGATGATGCTGGGGAAGCGCTCAGCCGTGCTCAAACTGTGAGTGTGTGTGAGGGGGCACAGGCCTGCTGGGTTTGACGGAATGAATGGCTTCTGAGAATCGCTCCGTGGTGACGCTGCCCCAGACCTTTACTGCTTCATCAGCTTCTTAAAGGGGCAGAGTTATAAATCACTGACCAGGATCTATCGTATCTCACTAACTTCGACCTAGGGCTGCCACTAATGACTCTTTCTATGGATTAATCTATTGACTATTTTACCAATTGGTCGATTAATCTAAATGATTAATTTAGCATCTACGCAGAAACCTCCAGAAAATCAAATAGGCCGTTTAAGTTACAGTTTGTAATATGTTATTGCAGGGCTTTAGATAATGGACGCTGGCTTTTCAGCACAATACAGACATTATTTTCACCCACAATTCACAAAGCAAAGTAGCAGTATGCCTAAAATATTAAAGATGTGTTTTGTGATGCCCAAAAGTTAGTAATTCAATGGAGATTCTAAGGTAGCAGCAGGCAGACATCTTTATGGCTTTAATAATGAGTGTAGCTACATGCTACATGGCTCTCCGTACTAATGGTAATGTAATGTGCCGTAGGGTCCCTAACCCTAACCCTATCTCACCACGACGTGTAGTTACGGTCCTGGGGCGGTGCATGTCAGGTGCCGTAGGGTCCATGGCTACGCCGCATACGGCTGAGATCATTATCAGCCTTTAATGTGTAAAAGTTGTTTGCGCATTATTTAGGCACCTTCTGCCCCCCCAGCAGTGTTCTATTAGGGATTATCTATTGGGGGGGGGGGAGGGGGTTGCAATGTTGAGGGGTGCTGGGGTTTTCTTGGACCCCACTGTCACCTGCAAATTAGGGTTTCGAGTCCCCCCCCCCCACCACACCAGCCTCCCTTCCCAAGGCATCACATGATTCCACAGTGTTTTCTTCGGGGGGGGGGGGGGGGGCGCTCTCTCTTCAGTGAGTAATGGTCATCTCTAGCACTGGGATTTTTACAGTGCTGTGTCAGCATTTAGGAATCTAAAAAAAGGTTCTGCAGTCATTTAATACTGACAGATCTGCCTCCAGTCCTAAGCATTGGTCACCTGAGGAATTGGTCACCGGAATCTCCTCCTTCCGAGGATTGAAGATGGTCTCTTCCACCCATTAGTCCGACCATGTTAAGATAAGGTTTGCACGTGCAGCACTGCAGATGCCAAGGGCGCAGGTCTGGAGGTGGGAGTCTGCAGCAGTGCTATCATGTCACATGGAAGGTGACTCCCTACAAGGAGAGTTGCTGTAATAAACAGGAATTACGTATGTGATGAAACAAGAGTTCCTGCTACAGAGTAATTTCACCATATTGTTTAATTGAGTGCTTATCAACCAAGGGCGGTTTTAGTTGCCTTTCCAGTAAAAAAAAATATTAAGTATATAAATCCACTGGTTAGCTTTCTGAATGCTACCCAAGATTTCCTTTTTCCACTATCTGGCCAAAAAAAAAAACAATGGAATGAAATGCTTGTGAACAGCTAAATTGAATTATAATACGTTTTAATTATGTTTTGCTGGTGGACTTGGCAGCCGAAATCAGACGAGCTTGATGGGAATGCAGATTAATGGACCGTTTTTGGGTGGTTCACTTCCAAACCTTTTGTGTTTGGGTCTGTTATCCTCACAGGCAGCAGGGCTTAAAAAGGAGGCTGCAAAAGCCCCCTCCTCCATTTGTAACCCCCACCTTCCGCAATATTCTGAACACCATAGGAATATGCAGACACGGTTAGCACTTGTGACGTTAATTAATACTTGTTTGGCTAGAACGTATGAGGGCTTCTTCCTGAATCATAGTCGAGTCCCTTCTCCAGTAACTGGGGGAACTTCTTGCCCTCTGACGAGGTTCCATTTTGCCACCAGTTTAACCATTGGGATGACTGAGCTCTTAATGGTTCAGGAGGCTGCATTCTAGGAAGTAAAATTCATCCAGTTTTTGGCTCATGTTTTAATAAATGTCTTAATTATCTTAATGGATGTTCTGACTTCGTCTCTCCTCTTCCTCACAGCCCTCTCTCACTTCCCTGTGTGACTGCTGTCTCTCTCTCTCCAGGGTTATGATGTTTGAGGACAAGGCCAATGGTGCAAGCTGCAAGCCGGACGGGCCCCCACCCAAGCGGGACATAGCCAGCCTGCCGTAGATGGGGGTGGGGTTGTGGGAGGTGGTGAGGGATTGGAAGCACCTTGGTTATCCACTGGTCCACTCATTGTCTTTCTTCTGAGAATGTAAATAGCCTTATTGCGAGTCAGACTTTGAGATTGAAGGAGAATCTTTGTAGACTGTGAGATTTCATTTCCATTTAAAAAGTGGGGAAAACTATATTTGCTGTGAAAAAGTAATGGCAGTAGTTTTTATATGAGTAAATAAATGTATATATTTGTATTAAAAATTAAATAACAAGGTTAATATTTTTAATTGCCACTCCAGCTCACCTTAAATCGCAGGAAACTGAAGACCATTTCTTTCTTAAAATACCAGATGCAGTGCTTTTTTTCCTCCTTTATTTTTTTAAGGGGCTTGAATTCCCATTTTCTTCAGGTGTAGGTATTCATTATCAAGGCTGGGGCTAACTGCATTTAGCCATCAGGAGACATTCCACATGCTGCATTAAATCCAGCTCAGTCTAGACAGGCTTCCCCATTGGCCAGCCTGAATTTCACAGTCCTGTGATGTTGATGTGGCTTATCTGAGGAGCAGGAGATGGAGATCTTGCTGTCTGAGGGCATGTGGCAGCATGCAATGCTAGGGTTGCTTGGCCTGATTGAGGCTTTCAGCAGCTGTCTAGGTGCTGTCTTCTGGTCTTTCAGGGTTTCTAGGAGGTCCACGTTTCCAGCTATCTTGGTCATATAGGTGGTATGGAAGGCACAGCAGATAAAAGCACATTTTGTTTACTGCTTTTCTCGTCAGAACATTTAGAAGGGCGATATCTAGACGAGCTGTTCCAGACCGTAGTCATTCTACTGCAGCTATATGTTTACTATAGGCTAACATATATACTGTATCACATTAAGATCATTTCCGTGTTCCACTATGCTTTTTTATATTTGATTTAATGCAGAAATATTTCTAAGTATGAAAGGAAGGGTATTTTTATTTATTTTATTTTTTTTACTTTGTAAGGGATTGAACAGAGCTGAAACGGAAAGTCCATTTTGTAAAATCTGCTTTGATATTTGGATACTTTCTGTTCCCATGACAACCTTAGGAGTACCCTCATTGCTTTGTCTCAGAAACTACACACTTGAGGGGTACATAGGTCCACCAGTTGTGAGTTTAACAATGTTAAGACTATGTATATTTTTCCAACCTAATAGTAGCATAACAGATCACTTATGTCAATGCTATAAACAGCCAGAGATGAGATTCTGTCAGAATTCTTTTTTTCCCTTGGAAGTTGGTGTGTGTGTGTGTGGGGGGGTTCTTGTTTCTTTTAAATTCAGATTGGGTTGTTTTTGAGAACTACTACTTTTTAGAATGAGTTTGTTTTGTCCGTAAGAGAAGCCCAGTCTGAACGGCGTTGGTACTGCCTGGGGGCACCTGGCCGCTGAAACTCCCGTCTGTGTCCTTATTTCCAACATAATGTATCAAAACCTAATTTGTTTCTCTTCTCCTTGTGCCCCTCTTGTCACTCCTGTTAAACACTAAACACTGTCCGTAACTTTGTAACTTATTAACTGCATTTTTTAGCTTTTGTTTCTGGATAATTTAAGTCTTCTTGGAAGTTTAGTAGCTTGTATTTTTTGAAAACACCAAAGGAATTAAAGTTCTTACAGTAATGCTGATGTGTGCAGGTACTGTTTCTATTATGCTGGACTGTCTGCATAATGTCTTATTTTTCTTGCTTTATGGGATTAAGAGCTTAGAGACTTTACATTGCACCTTTCAGTAAAGTATATTGTAGACTGTGCCGTATGCATTAGTATAAGGAACTGTGGTGGACAGAAGTTTATATGGGTTAATGCATTCCTGTAAAGCCGTTACAAAGCACATTGTTTTACCTTCGTAAGAGAGAGCATTAAAATAAGAAATATAATAGCATGTACTAGCAGTTCATTTAAAAATGCAGACGATGCACCATAAAGAGGCTTTACCATATATGAAGTACAGCATGACGCACAAACATATATGAGCTTTATTTACCTTGTTCAGCCTAGTTCTACATGGGAATTAATGTGGAGAGGAGCTGTACTGCATCATTGGCCTCCGATAATCTAACCATTGTAACGATTTGTATTATTTTAGGCTGATCTTTTAGTGCATTTTTTAAATACACAGAGCAGGCGTTGGTGCATTCTTCATCTGAGTAACCCTCGCGATTTTCCAGTATTCTTCCTTATGAATCTGCAAGTGCCTAATTAGACTTGTTGTATGAAACGACGCCCTGTTGCTTCCTCCTTTCGCAAGGATGGCATTGCAGATATCCATTGGGCTACTTTTAAGTTTCCAGAATTTCCACATGACTGAAATCTTGATAGTTTGTAGCTTCGAGCCACGTGCCTCAGGCTTACTGGAGTGTGTGATTTGACTCTGTGCAACTGACGTAAATGGGGCAAACCCGGGAAATGAAATAGATTGGGGTTTGGTAGTCTATACTGATCTGGGGTTGGGTCGCTGGGGTAGCAGTCTAAGTAGAGATGTCCAGACCTCCCTCTCACCAGCCTGGCCGAGAGATATAATCTCTCCAGCGTGTCCCGGGTCCTGCCCGAGGCCGCCTCCCAGTTGATCAGGCCCAAAATACCTCCCCAGGAAGAATTCAGAAGGCATCCTAGATAGATGCCTGAACCACCTCAGCTGGCTCCTTTTGATGCAGAGCAGCAGCTCTACTTCTGGATGTCTGAGCTCCTCACCCTGTCGCTAAGGCTGAGCCTAGACACCCTGCGCAGGAAGCTCATTTCTGCTGCTTGTATCCGCGATCTCATTCTTTTGGTCATTACTCAGAGCTCATGAGCATAGCAGTAGGTAGGAAAGTAGATGAAATCATTCACCTTCCTGCTCAGCTACCTCTTCGCTACAACAGAATGGTACAGCGTCCACATTACTGCACTGCTGTCATCTCTGCACCGATTTGTCTGTCGATCTCTCGCTCCCTTCTTCCCTCACTTGTGGACAAGACCCCAAGAAACTTAAACTCCTCAGTTTGAGGCGGCAACTCATCCCCCACCAGTAGAGGGCGATCCTCCCTTTTCTGGTCGAGAACCATGGCCTCAGACTTGGAGGTGCTGATCCTCATCCTGGCCGCCTCACACTCAGCTGCAAACCGCCCCAGCTCATGTGATCCTGCGCCCCCAAACCGGACCCCCTCCGCCCCATGGCTATGCCTAGAAATTCTGTCCATCAAAATTATGAACAGAATCGTGACAAAGGGCAGCCCTGACAGAGTCCGACACCAATCAGGAAGGAATCCGACTTATTGCTGGCTATGCGAACCAAGCTTTTGCTCCGTTTGTACAGGGACCTGATGGCCCGTGACAACAGACCCCAGACCCCATACTCCTGAAGCCCCCCCCCCCACAGCACCTCCTCAGGGATATGGTCATATGCCTTTTCCAAGTCCACAAAACACACATAGCCTGGTTGGGCAAACTCCCATGAACCCTCCAATGTCCTTGTGAGAGTGAAGAGCTGGTCCAGTGTTCTAGCCTACACTGATCATGCCTGGATAGGGCCCGATTCTGATCTTTGATGTCAGATCGAGACATCCCAATTTTTTCATTTTGTATCATGTATATAAGTGGAAAATCTCTGTCAATAGTTGTGTGAATCATTATGTTAAAATCCTGTTTGATATGGGTTACTTAGGAAAATTCCTCTTTGACAGGCGAATACTGAAAGTCATGGGACTTGCATAATTAACTATTGAAATGAATAGCCTTTCGATAGGAACATCACTAGAGATTTATGGAAAGGGCGGCTAAGTCTTTACTAGGAGAGTCAGGTTGAAATGGATTTTAATGAACAGAAACAGTATTAAACTCATCTGTGCAATTATGGGGAGCCTGCTTTGAAGCACCTTTGACCTTGTTGATTATGGTATGTTAGTACTTCTATAATTTTCTTGGAGGGAGCTGCACAACATCCCACTCTTCAATAAATAATGAAATCTTGTACTGGAAATAACTATTTACATATTTAATAATCACCACTTTTCCTGACATCAGGGGTGTGGAACCTTGGTAGAATGGGGTATATGCAAAAGACCGTAAACAGCATAAAAGAGACTGGGGGCTTTCAGGGTCAGCCGCCTTGAATCCGTCTCCCCAACTTCTACAATATCCGTAATTACTGGGTGGATCAGCTGGAACCATGAAAGGCGATAAAATGTGCGAGTCGCCGCTGTAACACTCAGCTGTAACACTCAGCTGTAACACTCAGCTGTAACACTCAGCTGTAACACTCAGCTGTAAGTGTATTTCCAAAGCTGTGCACACATTCCACCTATATGGCAATTTACACAATATTCCCCAACCAATTAGGTGCGTGACACTATATGTCTTAGTGTCCATGTCTTAAAATATCTTTTATATTAGGAAGTGAAGTTCAAATTTTTATTTCTTTTTTTTTTTACCAAATGTGTTTTTACTGTCCCTGTTGTGACACGTAGGCCTGAAACAGTACACGTGTGTGCAGTACACATTTAACCAGTGTTTTTATCAGAGGAGACTACGTCATGTGAGTTCCATCTCAACCCTCAACCACTGGGCTGTTGGCGCAATGCTCTATGTTGATGCAGTATTAAATCATATCTACATAGAATTATATTTACAAATCAAAGTATTTTTAACTCTTGGCTCTTCCACTTAGAGCAGGCTATATTAATTCTCATGAAACACTACCTCGCGTTCACAATCGCAATCGTTTAGAAAGTACAAGACAAAACACATCTCATATTGATTCAAAATAGAACACAGCATTTTATTTGTCAATACGAGGGGATTGGACGCCAAAAAAAAAAAGCAGAAAAAAATGAATGTTCTTATTTACAGTACATTCAAGGGATTAGCTAAATTCAACAAGAATGATATTTACAAATCAAAGTATTTTTAAGTCTTGGCTCTTTCATGTAGAGTAGGCTATATTCATTCCATGCGTGAAAATCAACAAGGAACAATGGTGAACAAGCAACTCAGACACACACATACACACACTTGAGAACAAAAGACATTTATCCAAGATGTGAGTCGCCGGAGGTTGGAGTAGGGGGCGAATCTAAAGCACATCACCACACTGAGTGCAAGTAGCCCTTTATGTGTGTGGTTCCACGCACTTCATCATACTTTTTTCCTGTTGACATGTCCACCTTTCAATACACCCACATGCCATTTGACACTCCCGCTACTCCAGTCTGCAGAGACTTGTACTTGATAGATCCAGCAACCCTGGAGCACTTACTGTGACTTGTCTTAATGAAATGGGTTCACCAGGTCTGTACTTGTTCCTTTTATATGCTACAATCACTAGGCCTGGCTGGCCTAGGGAGAAGTGACAAGATTAACTTTCAAAACAAACACACAGTTACGTAATCTCCCACAACAAAAATTAGCAACAGAATGGGTGATTATACAGAAGAGGTTATTGACGTTCCACTTTCAGGAAATAAAGCTGAAGTAATGAAATTTGAAGTAGAAATTGCCTGCATTAGGTCCAGTGTTAGGGTTTTGATTGATTTGATTCTTTTATCCTTCCTCTGGTGTTAGGCTCGACACTGACCCGTTTGTAAGTTTTAAATACATAAAAGCACCAAATAAATTTGTGTACTGCATCAAGGCTTTTTGACTTTGTCAGGAACCTCTATTTAAACAAAGTAAAATAATTAAAAAAAAATCACAAAATTATAAATACTCTGGTCCCGACTAATACACCTCTGGTGTTAGGGTCGGCACTGACCCGTTTGTAAGCTTAAAATGCATAAAAGCACGACATAAATTTGTGTACTGAATCAAGGCTTTTTGACTTTGTCAGGAACCTCTATTTAAAAAAAAAAAAAATCACTAAATTATAAATGCTCTGGTCAACATTATAACAGCTCTGGTGTTGGGGTCGACACCGACCCCTTTATAAGTTTAAAATGCATAAAAGCATCACATAAATTTGTGTACTGCATCAGGAAAATCTATTAAAAAATGAATACATAAAAAAAATATTTCGCTAGGCAAGGTATGCCCAGACATGTTAGGCAAGATAAGACCAATTCAGTTTATTTATTTAATTCACTTGAGGCTTATTTTACCATTATTTTTGATTGAAAACAAGAGGTATGCTGTCAAAAGCAAGGTCCAGAAAGCCACACCAAAAATATTAAAACCAATCTTTTCATGGATAAGGAAGCCTAACAAGGTCACCAAGAGGTAAGAAACAAATTGGATGATAAATAATTGTTTTGAGGGTATTTTATGGCTGATTTAAGACACAGGTCGGCATCGACCCGTCTAACATAAGAGATGCGTACAGAAAGCTCAGACAGGAAGAAGGAAAGAGATCCCGCATTTCCAGTCCTGTTGTGACATCTCCGTGAAATCGCCTCTGTCACCAAACGAGCATCTGATGCAGAATAATTGTGTGCAGTTAATGAACAGCACAAAGTGAACCGGTCACCCAAATCACTCATCAAAATGTCCTGTTTTTTTTTTTGTTTTTTTTGCACTATATGGCCAAAAGTATGTGGACATTCTTATTAATTAGCAGAATAACTTAATTAAGCCAAGCCCATTGTTGAGACAGGTGTATAATTAAGCACACAGTCATGCAGTCTCCTGCACTAAATATTATCAGCAGGTTTG